AACAAGGCAAGCTTGGCTGCATCCTGGTTGCTGTAATATGATATGATACGGGGTTAAGGCGACGGGAATACGTAACTAGTAGCGAATATACACAATACAGAGCTTGAGGACTTGGAGGATGGATAATCGCTTTCCTTCACTCGAGTACCTCGCAGCGGAAGGACCCGTTTTCTTCAGAATAAGATCAGAAAACAGGGATAATCGGAGGTGGTTTAGGCGCAGTTGAGAGTCATCTAATCCAGAGCGGTAGCCTGAGTACCACGGAGCGAGTGTAGCGTTCGAGTTCCAATCTGTTGTCGGTTTGCTGATACGGCGTCCCTCCGAATAACAAGTACTGCCGCGCACAGAATCAAACAAGGGATGGGATGTGCGCGCGGGTCTGTAGTTTCGATGGCTCCCGACCTGCTCAGAGGCTCTTGGTCGACATTGGACATTCCATTTCGAACTCCAAGACCAGCCGACTCGAGGCAACTCAGCTCAGACTTGAACTACTACTACATCACCCCGATGTCAATTCTGACTAGATCTGACTCAGACCGTGAACGGGCGTGCTTCACCAATGCCGTCGCTCCAATCCATTTCGTCACCAATATCGACTTGGCCCTCTCCGATCTTTGATTGATATTCATACGCTTGGTAATCTATCATGACAATCAATTTTTCGTACCTCCCCTTTCGTCTTACAAGTGACAATTTGAAATGTACCTCTGGTGTCATGGTGTGCCATGCCCACCGTGGTCTCATAGGACATGCGGCGGCCGGCCAGGCAGGGAGAACTAAGCGTCGGTAAGATAAGGCCTTGCTGGAGAGCACCTCGTTGTTAGAAGAGTAGTCTCCTACCTCTTCGGTGTATGCAGTGATCCTGGAATCCTTGCTAATATTCTTAGGTTGTGGTGGAGAAGGCTATTCTTAGGATCGCTTCGTGGATTCCAACCATTGTCTTCTCTTTATCCTGGCCACCGTCTCTCCCTCCGATCGCATCTCGGCTCGCCCCTTTTGCTACTGGCTCGTGGCGGGGATGTCCACACGGAGGGAATGCTTTGTCAGTTGCTAATATCGTTGAGGGTCGTTTGTGGCAGTTCGTTCGGTAGGTGATTCCAAGGATGGCTCTACCCATTTCTAACCGGTCTTAAGATTACTTCGTTCAACATAGACTCTCTCAGGACTCTCCTCTGATGTCGTCACACCGGCGGTTCAGTCTTTGCCAACGTGACTGTAGTGATAGATGACTCACGATTAAGAAACCTGGTTATTCCTCATATGGGAAGGTCAGGCATCTCCAATGCCCGGTTTCAAACAAGATCTTCGGCAGAGCCTCCCACACATACAAGTTTAGTCTCTGTGCTGGCAATGATCAACCTCGAGTTCACCTTGTAGTCAACACCACGAGGGGCGGGTATGGCTTTGCATGAAGCTATGACTTGGCCGTAGGGTTGCTCGCGGCATCGTAGTGATGTGTTCGCCAAGATCCGACTTGAAGCTATGTACTTGATTCTTTCGACAATATGTACCGGCACTCCAAAGTTGCAGTGGCGATAGTACTTACTTCTCGACCCTGTGTTCTCGGAGAACGTCTTCGTCGCAAAGATCCGGTCATACAAGCGATACTTAGACCTCGCTACTTACGAGTCAGTGGTCTCAGAGTCAGACTGTCTCTCCCATCTCCCCCTAGGCTCATCGCTGTCTCGAAAAGGCCCCCCAATGTGCGGCGAAAGCTATTTTCGTGTAAGCTCAACTGTTACTTATTATGGTCATTTGGTTTCTGACTGTGTTCCTTGCAGCCCAATTTTGCGGTTCTATTGGTGTGCTCGTATTTGCTTGGATTTCATATCATTGTGCCTACTTAGCCTTTTAGATTTCTGCGCTTCTTTATGGTTCGTCCCGTGGGCACCTTGTCTATCTCTCAACACCTAATGCCATTGGTTAAGGCATATACTTCGCATTATTCCTTGTTAGTGCATACGTCTGCGCGTATAATCGACGGAACAACTACTTCCTCATTGTCACCACCGTCATGTTTGTGGTGGGGACAGTCGTCTTTGCTATGAGCTCTGCGGCAACGATGGTCGCACCGGACTTTATGGCTCGGAGTTACTGTGATGGGTTGGCATGTTTCCCTTGCAACGGGAACTCTCAAGCCCGAGCCGATCAGATTACTCGTTTTAATTTGCTCAATGCAGTGGTTGGATTCTTGTGGGTAGTGAACAAGTGAGTGCATACATGCGTTCTGTTAGAGTTCCATTGTCTCATACTAGATGCGTAGTATCTTCGCTGACAGCATTATGGTAAGCCTATGCTCTCCCTTTCGTACCTGCCAATTCACCTCGTTGTAGATTTATCGCGACTACATTTTCTGGCAAAAGAATGTCTGGATCACTGCTCTTCCTATTCTTGCTCTGCTCGGAACAACGGGTACCTTTGTGTAGAGTCCGCATATATGCACTCATTGACTACTCGTCGCTTAGTTTCCGGATTTTACGAAGACTATCTCCTGCTTGAACTAGCCTTATTTCCACAATCCCCTAACCAGCTTGCTCCTCCGTCAAAGTTTGTTGCGCTTTCGAACCTGGAGAGCACCGTGGACGGCGCTTCGACCGTCCTCGTGATGGTCACCAACATTCTGACTACCCTCTTGATCGGTACGTACGTCCGCCCGACTCTGTGCCATTCCGTTGATCAGTCCAACTGACCCAGCAATGTAATAGTTTCGCGAATTTGGTGGATGACTCGGGGAATGAGGGAAACTCTAGGTTTGAGAACTGCGAAGAGGTATCATCAGATCATGGCAATGATGTAAGACTCCTTCGTCTGCGTGGATGCCCAAGCTCCTAACATCTGTTACCACTATGGCGCGATGTTATAGGGTCGAATCGGGTGCCATCTACGCAATATCCTTGCTCATCTGTGCCATATTCAAATTCGATCTGGGGCTTAGTGGGCTCGGTGGTCCCATATACGCCGTTGCAACACAATTACAGGTATGTTTCGATTCTCCAATACCCACTCATCCCCGAGGAGTTCTGTGCTGACCATCGCGACTCTTATTATTCCGGTGCAGACAATCGCGCCGACTCTTATCATCATTCGCGTGCGGATTAAAGAATGTGTGGAGGACACGACGCTGGGTCAATCCAATCCAGTTGCCGCTCCTCCCACTTTTTCGCCAATACCCGCGCGTAGGAGCGATCGGCAGGAAAGTATGCTCGGAGGAGGGATGCAGGAAATCGTGGTGGTGGAAGGGGGCTCACTCGAGCTCACGACCATGGGCGGCGACGCACACGAAGTGTCGATTGAGTCTCTACGTGGGTAGCGCTCATGTTGAGATGTGCGGGTTGGGGTACTCTTTATCTGGGACCATGATCTCTGGATCTGCTTTATTTTCCTCTTCTATATGGGACTGGAACACTGATCGGGAATGTTGTATTAGCTCATTGTGCTGTCGTACAATGATACGTCACATGTATGCAAAGATTCTGTTTAGGAAGGGACTCCGTAGACTTCGCATCGGCCATTAGCAATAGGGCGCCAGAGATCAAGCGAGATGGTGCAGTTGTGCCTAGCGTATGACGTTTGGATGCAATCTTCCCCTAATTTGTTCTGTCAATCAAATGGCGATCACTTGTGAAGGAGAACTGCATGGTGACATGCATGGATAAACGGAAGATGGGACAGCGCATGGCATTGAAAGGTGAAGTCACGTTAGTTATAATAAGGGCGGCAACGGACAACACAACCAGTTTTCAAATACCTCACGACTTCTCCTATGAAACACCAAAATGCCTTGAGATTCGAAGCTGAGTGTTCGTGATTGGGCCATACCGCGCGCCTAAGATACTGATCGTTAACAGTCAGTGTTCCAGACGGATTAAGACCATAATGCATGGCAGTTCGGTGCAGTCTCTTGTGTGGATAAATGGTCATACGATCTCGATTGCTGCTCATGAATGTACCACGTCGTTGCGTCGTCTACACACCGAGTTTCGTAGACAGGAGGATAAAAAACAACCAACTCAACTGTTGTTTTGGAGAGTAGACTAGCTCCTTTGCTAGTGAGAACGAACAAATGCGAGTCCCAGTTGGAAGACAGTCGCGCCTGTGTCTGCCAAGTTTGTCGTCGTGAGATGAGATGGGTTAAGGTTTCCTTCCAAAATTGGATTGCCGAATCAAATTCCAACTCCGCCGCCTCCGACGGAAACAAATCCCGGATGGATCTCCAAATCTCGATCGCCTCGAACTGAATCTTAACCCCAACCCCAACCTTCCTCTTTGCTTAACGATCCTGACCTTTTAAGCAGCCGAAGCTTCAACCTGCCCCATGGCTGAGTTGGTTACAGCGTCCGACTGTTATTTATCCTTGTCGATTCGACATCGGAAGGTCGTGAGTTCGAGCCTCACTGGGGCAGCACATCTTGTCGCATTTTGGGTGGCGGACCAGGCCTTGAGTTTTCGGGCAATATACTTATCCGTTTGGCTCGCATACTTGGTCACTGATTTCGCCTCTCTTTTGTCAAACAACACTACGCTGGTTAATTTCCACGAAATACCCCAAAGGACTCCAGAGAGAAGGAGAAGCACCATTTGGCAACGAGGGGCTGCATCTCCATTCGCCTCTTGTCTGAATTGGTTACAGTCTCCGACTGTTATTTCTCCTGTTGAAACTAATGTATTTGACATCGCAAGGTCGTGATTTGAGCCTCACTGGGGAAGCTACTTTGCGCTCCTCATTTGCTTCTGGAGAGCTTTCTGGAGATTAGAGTTGCAACATGCTTTATACTTGAGCGACCTTCAAAGACGCAAGGAGTGTCGAAGACTGCACACGGCGATTCATCTATTTGGATCTCAAGTGTGAAGCAGACATTGTTACGCATACTACTTTCCCTCCGACATTTGATCGTGCACCCACAGTATGAGATTGAGTTGCTGGTCTTCCCCTAAGGTGGTTCATGATCGAAACTGTTTACTCCTAAGTCCCTCAGCATACCTAATGCATCCATCTTGTGTGCCCCATGGCTGAGTTGGTTACAGCGTCCGACTGTTATTCGTTCTGTGCATAATTTGACATCGGAAGGTCGTGAGTTCGAGCCTCACTGGGGCAGTGTAAGCTTCAAATCAACATTTTGTTGCGTATCTTGCTTTTGTTTTACTCAACCTCAATCACATCTTCCACTGCAATGTCCGGGAAAGTTATGATGACACCCCAAAGTTTATGTCCAGGACAATCACGATGCGAAAAATTGCGAATGAACCCGGCGGGTACAGATCAAAATCGTGTACACGGGAACAACGGATTACAACCGATCATTCCTCTTCCATCTCGTCTCCCTCTTCTGATTTCCACCAGGATACAGGTCCTAACCCTTGTTCCGCAATCGAGCACTAGATTCAAAGGGAAAGTCGTCAGTGTTTCGTCGGTCCTGTCTGTCACCGTTCCCCATTCATCCGATACCGCTCTGCAGCGGTATCTGCAACGGAGATAAACCACTCACAACAACACTATACGCAGCCCTCCTCCTCTCCCCCACCACGCCCATAACACCCTCGGTAGCTTTCGGAGGCCCAGGTTCATCATCGTAAAACTCATCATGTTCAACTCGGACACGTATAACGGATGAAGTGTCGATGTACATTCGGGATGTTAGGGGTGTGTCGAGCAGTTGGTGGGTTGTGTATTGGGGTTCTGTTGTTGAGGAGGACGGGTCGGTTGTTGGAGGTGGTGAACCGGTTGGGGTGGGTGGGTTTGCGAGCCAGAAGTGGGCACGTTCGTTGGGGTCGCTGGAGGGGATTTGGGGTTAGAGGAAGCGCAAGGAGGAAGAGAGGGGAGGAAGGAGGCGCACAAGGCGGATGGTTGAGGGAGGTAGGTGGTTGGGATGTACATGTCGTCGAAGAAGCCTAATGTTACTGGGTGAAAATGAGGGGATGAGCTATGTCATTAGCCGGCGGATAAGAGGAAAGGGGAGAAGAAAAGACGTACGTCGTATCCCATCTTCGTCTGATGACTTCACTTTTGCCAGAATCACTTCTGACGCGAAGGGTCTGAAGACTACAAGTCTGAACACCACTTTCCCCATCAACCAAGGTCAACACCTCTTTTACCGAAAAGGTACGTCTTCACAAGAGGGGCTGTGAGAATGAAAAGCGTACCTTTATACCACAAAAACCCATCTCCGTACCTAACCTTTCCCTCCCCAGCTTCGACTATATCAAAAACACAAATACATAACCCAACGTCGTGTAAGATGCGATTTGCGTATTTTTTGTTGAGTTCGGCTGTTAGGGCTTGTTCTGGGGGTATGGCGAAGTAGGTTGGGTGGACGTTTACTGTGTCCTGAGGGTCGTCGGCATCAGGAGGGAGGTGTCAGGGTTAGGGTGTGAATATTTGGAGGGTCGTTTAGCGCACTTTGATGATAGACAAGACAAACATTTTGAGGAAATGGGAAAGAGAACGGGTCGTATTGGGAGGTTATGGTTATAGGATCATGGGAACAGTGTAAATCAGGGCGCAAGTCAGGTCAAAGACAGTGGGAGATGGAAAAGGAAAACTGGATGTTAAAATTGCCACGCGGTTATCTAATCACACTTACCTGATCGAGATTTGTCCAAAAATTTGCCAATGTTTTGCACCGAACCTCTGCCGTTGGCCGCGTCCTTCTCCTCTCTGCTGTCCTCATTTCCTCCCGTCCTGCCTGCCCCATCACCACTCTGTCGCAAAATAAAGAGGAATCTAGATTACACACTATCCTATAATGTCGGGATCGCCTCCTCCGCCGTCGAGTCCCGCCTCCAACAGCTTTCTACCCGCCAAATCAGGGCTCCACTTCATTGCAGGAGGGTACGCGCATCTCTACCCTCATAGCTTATACCAAATTACTCACTTTTGCTTTCGCTCTTGTTGTCTTTTGTACGGTGTCCTCGGAACGAACGCGTAGTCTGGGAGGAATGTGCGGCGCTATCGTAACAAGCCCGTTTGACGTCGTCAAAACCCGCCTACAATCCGACCTATATCGCGAGAAACATGCTCATGTGAGGTTAACAGGTGATGGTACTGTTGTCGTAAAGCGTACGGGAGGGTTGTTATGGAATTTTGTCGAGACGGGGCATATTATCCGGTGCGTCTTCCCCGACCATCAATTCGACCTTCCCGCTTCCTTACTCCGCATCCCGCGCTTTCAGTGATATCTATCGAGAAGAGTCACCTCGAGCACTATTCAAAGGTCTAGGTCCGACGCTTGTTGGCGTCATCCCAGCACGCTCGATCAATTTCTTTACCTACGGCAACGGCAAGCAACTAATAGCCAATACATTCAACAACGGACAGGAGAACACATTTGTCCACCTCTCCGCAGCCGCGCTAGCAGGTATCGTAACAGGAACCGCGACAAACCCAATCTGGGTTGTCAAGACTCGTTTACAACTGGCCCACGACCATCCGCCACCCGTCAAACTCGGTACGTTCTCGCCCAATCCACGAGGAGAGAAGATTTTAGGAGGTTCATGGGGCTTGATAAAGAAGATAGTGAAGGAGGAGGGTGTGAGAGGGTTTTATAAGGGTTTGAGTGCGAGCTATTTGGGGGTTACGGAAGGGACGATTCAGTGGACGCTTTATGAGAGGTTGAAGACGATGACGAAGAAACATCTGGGTCCGGATTTGAATGGAAGGGGTGGAGGGTGGGAATGGTTGGGTATGTTGGGGAGTGCGGGGACGGCCAAGTGTGTGGCGAGTTTGATTACCTATCCTCACGAGGTATGTTCCTTTACCTTATCTCCCTTCCACCCCTCCTTCTCCGTCTCCATTTTCCTTCTACCCGGTTATCATTTCCCCTTTTCATCGAACTCTTCATTCTAAAACAACGCCAATAGGTCTTAAGAACCCGTCTCCGTCAAGCACCCTGCTCGACTTCCCTCAAACCAAAGTACACAGGTCTCCTCCAAACGTTCAAACTAGTCCTTCACGAGGAAGGCGTCAGATCCTTATACGGAGGTCTAAGCGCTCATCTCATGAGAGTGGTACCAAATGCTGCGGTCATGTTCTTCATTTACGAGGGGATCCTGAAATGGGGTGACAAGCCATAGACTGCAGCCCCGTTCTAGAGGTTTATTTCGGACTTATTTATGATATAGTATAATCGGCTAAACACCCCCTCCCTCCCGTCGCTCCCTCACCTCCCCCCGACCCCATCTGGCAGATTCCCAACACAAAAAAAGTACCTCGAATATGGTTATATGCTCTCGTCGTGCACATCCCCTCTCACATCGCTTTGCTTTTTACTCGCTATATATACATTTGGTTTGGTTTTGAGACTCCTACAGCTTACTCCTTTCGTTTGCCTTACACCTTAGCCTCCGTGCCCTCCATTAGTTATGATTCCTTATAGTAGTATGAATACCTGCGCAATTGTACTTTTATCCATGCATTTCATGGTGACGTTTTGGAGCTGTTATGTCTTGGCGCGTAACCTTCTTGGCTTATCCTGCTGAATATATAACATTGTATTGACTGTCCTTTGAATCTCCCCAAAAATGGGGTGGTAGTCTTGATGCAAGGGAGACAACAAACCGACTCAGTCGACGTTGGCTCAAAACTCCACCACCTCTATTGATTCATCCACCATCCACCGTGGGGACTGTATCCGTTGACGAGACTATCTCTCGTTGCGCCAATCATGAAGGATGCCCGGATCTCCTTTCACGGCTCCATCGCTGAGACCACCCCCTGGAGCAATATCGTTGGATGGTCGGGTCTTTGCGGGACTTGTGATGAGCTCTGCCAACGAGATAATACGTCGATGTATGTTTTCGGCCACTCCGTGCATCTCGATGTATTTCATGTTGTCGGGTAATCCGATATTGTAGTCACTGCAGGAGTGTTGCATGAAATCGCCTATATTGTATGATACAAACTAGCCCGACATCCAAAATGGTGAATCATCAAGCAGTTTGCGGAGTCTGTAATAATGATAATCGTCAGTATGTTACGATGTCGCTATTAGGAACAACGCACCGAACACTTTTCGGTGTAAACAACGGGTTTCGACCCGTTCACCGACCCCCTCTCGACCATGTCACCATCCTCTTCACAACCCTAATCGTTCTCAAGAACCGTCGCCGTCATCCGAGCACGAGAGCGACGATCTACCACCCTCTACGCCATGCTCCCAACCAGCACTTGAAGAGTCAGCGGCGCCGTCTTGCTGAAGAGTCGCGTAAGGAGTGGTATTTGAGTGGACGACCGCCTGTCGATCGGGATACATCGGCGGTTGGGTGTGTTTCGTGTGCGAGCTGGGGATCGAGACCGTATGGAGGAGCCGGTACTCTCGCAGTCGACCACCCTGCCACGGTTTTAGTCAGCCAGATGGAACGATCGTCAAAGCCGACGGCAAACGACTTACCCGCCATCGGGTCCTACCCTTCCCGCGACCAAAGTATGATGTATGCACATTTCAAGCGTCTATCAAGAGGGCGATAACGGTCAGTACAATGGGCAACCACCGCTCAAGACAACTCACCATAATAACACCACCTAACACCTCAACGACTCCCCGGCGTTCATCACATCGACCACACCAAACACCACTTCGCCTTCGCGAAGGTCCCGCCTTCCTACCATATACGCAAAGAAAAAAACTCGATCAAAAAGTCAAGGGTAAAGTCGTAGGATCGAGGATGAAGAATAAATGATGGACGAGGTTTGGACGAGGTTTGAATATTTGAATGCGTACCACCACTTTACTGCAGACTTCCCACAATGACTTGGCAAAGTAACTTGCGCCTAACTTGTGTGACTTGTGCCTCTACAAGCGATGTGCATTGACTTGCCTGACGGGCCAAAATGACTTGCAAACTTGACTTGACTTGTCTCATTATCCAGCCAAATATACTGCGCTTGAGTACACCGTTCCCTGGGCCGACCACTGGCTCCAACACACCAGAGCTCTGGCGGCACTCCCCAAACAGTCTCTTGGAATGTTTCGTCGTCCCAACGGCTCTCCGCAGATGTCCCAAACATGCTCGTTCTCCACTGGGGCTTAAGGACGGCGGACGACAAAATATCAGGGAATGGGAGATGTTTGCAGACTAGGTGCACTTCGTTTCTGTCCTT